AATAACCGACCAAAGTTGATCGGTTAATAGTCAAAATACAGTCAACGCCCGTCACTTAGTGTACCGACCAAAATTACCGACCAACGTTGGTCGGTAATTCTAATTTCAGATCCCAAATATGAGATTTTCCCCTCATTTCTCTCACTCTCTTCTCCCTCACACACACAACATCCTTCACCCTCTCCTCATCTATTTCCCTCACATAAATTCCATTCCCCACCCCACGTCGCCACTGCCCCGTGTCGCCACTCCATCGCTGTCGCCGCTGCTACTGACTCCACCACTGCCGCCCTTCATTCTCTACCTCCTAAAAATTCTAAGTTTGAATTACAACTTATATCTTTTTTGTATAAATTTAATGTTTTGTTAATTAGTTATGAATTAGTTAATCAGTGTTTAAATTGATTGTTTAACTTTGTATTTTATTGAAATCTTGAGTTTAGGTCTTATTTTAATTGAATTGATTACATATGGTGTAAATTGAATGTTTAAGTTTGTACTGACTTGAATAGTTTAGTTAGGAATTGAATTATTAACTTTGAATTGAATTGAGTTTTTAGGATTTGTTCTTTTGAATTGAACTTTTAGGGTATGAATTGAATTTTTAGGGGTAAGTGTTGAACTTTTTGGATAAAGCTTATATTTTGTGAGGTTAATTGAATTGTTTAGGGTATGGGTTGAACTTTTAGTATATGAATTGAACTTTTAGAGGTAATGGTTGAACTTTTTGGATATGAATTGAAGTTTTAGGATATAAATTAAATTCTTCGGGGTAATGGTTGAACTTTTAGGATATGAATTGAACTTATGGTATATGTTTAAATTGAATGAATTATAATTAATTATATTTACTATAACTTAATTTTTGGTGTAATTAGTAAAAAATAATTATCTTAATTAAATAAAAATAATTTAATTAATTTATAACTGTAGAATAAATTAAGTAGTTCAAATACTTATGGAAATATCTCCATTTATTTTCATTTTATTTGTATAGGTGAAACATCGTACTTGGATGTACAATAGAAATTATCCTAATCGGCGGGGATTGCGGGAGGATTTTGTAGAAGGGGTTGATGACTTTATTAGACATGTAATGTCACTTTCATCATACCAAATTGAAGAAGTAATTAGGTGCCCTTGTGTCAAGTGCGACTATGTGAAGTTTAAAAAATCGGAGGAAGTTAAGCTTCATCTTTATAAGAATGGGGTTTATAGAGAATTACTTTATATGGACTAATCATGGAGAGATCGATGGTAGCCGTGGAATATTTCATAACATGATTGTTGGTGAAAGTAGTAGGTCGGTGGAGAATAGAAATCATGATTCTAGAATTCAGGATATGGTTGCCGATGCTTTTGGGATGCACTCCGGGGGTGAGCCCAAAGAAAATGTTGAACAAATTCCTAATGATGATGCAAAATATTTTTATGAACAGTTAGAGGAAGCTAGTCATCCACTACGTGAAGAAAGTCCGCACTCTGAGATGTTTGTTGCAGTTAGATTACTAAGTATCAAATCTGATTGGAATATTTTTCAAGTGGCCATGGACTCTTTCATTGACCTTATGAGTGAACTAGTTGATCCAAATATCAACTTACCTGGTGATTTCTATAAGGCAAAGAGATTGATTTCTAAGTTAGGACTCTCGTTAATGAGAATTGATTGTTGTGAAGATGGTTGCATGTTATATTATAAAGATGATGCAAATTTAGAAGTTGTAAATTCTGCGAAAAGCCTCGTTTCAAGAGGCTTTCCAGCGGGAATATGGTCACTGTGAAGGCGATGCATTATTTACCTCTTATACCTAGGTTAAAGAGGTTATATGCGTCGATGCGTTATGCTCCTCATATGAAATGACACTTTGAAAATAGAAGACCACCTGGTGTTATATGTCATCCTTCAGATAGAGAATCTTGGAAGCACTTTGATAGGACATATCCATATTATGCTAGTGAACCAAGGAACATTCGGTTAGGTTTGTGTGTGTGGATGGATTCACGCTTTTTTCTATATCTACGATACCATATTCATGCTGTCATGTCTTTCTTATACCTTATAATCTACCACATGAGTTGTGTATGACGAGAAGGGAGGCTCATTGCACACTAGGGGTGCTATCAACATCGGGACAATAAAAAGAAGATTGGTAATTGCTTAAATTATTTTACTTTTTTAAGTATATCAATTCTATTTATTAACTAAATTAATTTATTTCAGGAAAAGAAGTATGGACATCCAATGAGCCATGATGAGCTATTCAAGGAGACACATATTTTAAAGAAGAAGAAAGAGGGGGATGGAGATAGGTGGGTCGAGGACCGGGCAGAGACTACATATGTAACCTTTTAATTTTCTTTAAATGTTATAATTTACTTTTATAAGAATTTTTAAATACTAATTTAATTTAAAATAATGTAGGGTCGCTACCAAAGTAACGTGGATGAATTCATTCATAGTCAGTCAGCTGGTGAATCAAGCGAGCCAAACCAACCTTCGGATGAGGATGCTGAAAGTATATGGTTTGAAGTTGTTGGCGGACCAAAATGGGGGAAGGTATACAGGCTTCCTACGAAAAGATTCCATCTCTATAGGTGTGGAATGCAAGGAATAGGGACTTCCTCACAGGGCGAGGAACTTAATAGGGAGATCCTCTCGAATATGCGGGAGACAGTGACAAAGCTTACATCCGATCTAGAAGCGGCCAAGGAAAAAGAAAGGCTTAGAGATGCTCAATTCCTTGGTATGCAAGCTCATATCAGAACTCTCCTTTCTACTAGAGCTTTTCTGTCGCCTCGGTCTCGTGAGTCATCGCCAGAGGTTCGACCTTCACGTGATCGTTCCTCCTGTCCTCCTCGTGATCGTTCTTCCCGTCCTCCCCGTGATTGTTCTTCCCTTCCTCCACAAGACCGTTCTCTATACCGTCTTGTAGATGAAAGTTCATCAGACAGTTATGATGTTGTAGAAAATACCCCTTGACCCACACTTTGATATACTTTAAACTAGACTAATAGACCAATTTTGAATTAGATTGAATAATTTTGAACTTGTTGTAATTAGTTTTTGCTTGGTTTTGGATTGTGATGTTCAATTGAATTTTAATATGTTAGTTTTAAAGTATTAATTGGATGTTTAGTTGTTGTTGTTGTTGTTGGGTATTTGGTTAGATTTGTGGTGAAATAGGGGTTGTATGTGGTGAATTGGTGGTTATTAGATGTGAATTGGGGGTATTGGTATGCTATTTTTATTTGGCAGGTGGTGTAGCTATCAAAATAGGCATTTTTTGCCAAAATTAAACCCAGAAAATCGACCAACCTTGGTCGGTCACTAATAAAAAAAATAAAATTGCACATTACCGACCAATGTTGGTTGGTTAATGTACAATGAATTCCCAAAAATTTAACATTACCAATCAAATTTGGCCGGTTTGTTGCCTGCCCTGTCGAGTTTACCGACCAATTTTGGTCGGTATTTTTAAATTTTAATTATTTGTAAAAAAAAAATATTTTCCAGTACAGACCAAAGTTGGTCGGTATTTTTAAATTTTAATTATTTATAAAAAAATATATATTTTTCAATACCGACCAAAATTGACCGGTAGGCAAAATTAATAAATTTAATACACCGTTCAAGTTTGGTCGGTAAAATTAAATTATTAAAATAATATTCCGACCAATTTTGGTTGGCATGTCAATTAAATTATCAGATGGTCGTGTATGGCATACCGACCAATGTTGGTCAGTAATTTCTGACCAACTTTAGTCGGTATACCATTCCGACCTTCAAAATACCGTCCACATGTGAATGGTCGCGTTTTGGATGGTTATTGGCCATTACCGACCAACTTTGATCGGTTTTTTTGAACGAATTTTCCCGAATTTCTAGTAGTGTAATTTCCACTTCCTTTTGTTTTCCTCACTCAAAATTTCACCTTTATTAGAATTCAATCCCATAATAAAATAAAGGACGTTGAATCAACAAAGCATAGGGAATTTATATTTGAGTTAGATTTCTCCAACTATGCGTTGGGTATTTAAGTTGATATAATAATATGACATTGATGAGTCATGATCGTCTAATTGATCTATACTACTACAGATTATCGATAATCTTCATTGTTTAACAATTGTCACCTGAATCATCACTTGACCTCTTCAAATTCACCTTGTAAAACTATAATTTTTTTTATATGATCATATGCTTTTTCAATGTCTAATTTAACATGTTTTTTATAGGAGAGGCTACATCACTTCACTGTAATTGCGAATACCGAAGTACATGCATGATGACATGGGGTGATGTCACTTAGGTACCCGTGTAAGGTTAGCCAAACTTATGTGTGAGGATTCATGTGGATGCAACAAAAAAGTATGGATAAATCATTATAAGAGGATTTATAATGATTGTTTATAGTCATTATTAATAGTTTAAAATCATGTTAGACAATGGTGGCTCAATAACACCAATGACCTAAAAACTAAATTTAATAAGAGGCCTTAAACTTTTTAAATTGAATACAAATATGCAAGAAGTTAATGTTGCATTTGTTATCTTTTTATAGTATAGTAGCCTTAAAAGACATTGAGCCTTTAATTTCATATAGTAAAATTATTATTATATTGGTAAAGGTTAATTTCAAGTTGATCAGATGTTAGCCATCTATTTGCAATATATTACATTGGATGTTGTTAAAGACTATGTTTAATAATATGAATATCTTATAGTTTAATTCAATGTTCTAAAATATTTCTAATGTTAAAATATCAGGAATCTGTTTTTTTAAATAAAGATTATGTACGTTCTCTTTCTACAAACTTCAATATTGTCTAAGCAAAAATAAATAAATAAAATTTATTATTAAAAATTTTGAGGCCTAAAGCAAAGGCCTTATTAGCCTCCCCTTGAGCCACCTGATGTTAGATAGCCTACATCAAAAATTCATGACCTACTTTCTATCTATTTAAGCTTCTGAATAGCTAAAAAAGCTGAAACATGAATATTCTCCAGGGAAACTTTACTACTATTAAAAAAACTAAACCGAGCATTACAAATCAGTTAAAATTCGTAAAAACAAATTTATTAATCCTTTTCTGAAGCTGGAATATCTTGTATAACAAATGTGACTTCCTTGAGAAGTCTGAATTATCCCGAGAACGGAGAAGATCACGACAGAAGCATCCAATCAAAGTTAAACCCATCTTGAATTCTCTCAGTTGTGTGTTTTATGATCAGATATGCAATGAACTATGTAGAACAATGACATTTTGTACGACTTGTCGACTTCTGCTGCAAGCCAAAGAACAAAAAAGCATCAATCTTTTTTTGTTATGCTCTGTGGATAATGGTTTACTTGCTTTTTGACTACCAAGTCCCACTGTGGCTTATACCACTTGAACAGAAAAAGGAGCATATATATTCCTAATTCCATATACCACCAGTTTGTGGCTTTTGGTATCTCATTGCATTTGTCAGTATTTCAAATCACTTCACCCTTACATTGTGTGTGTTTTTACTCATTTGCTAAGATACATTAACTGGATTAAACTAGCACATGATCATGGAAGTAATTTAGCCAATCCCATTTATTGGATAGCTTTTGTCTTTACCGCATGCTAATCTGCAACCTTAGAACATTAATCTAAACAATTTCTTCCTAGTTGTCACAGAAAGGCAGTTGACTCGTTTTTCTTCAAAAGTAAGTCTTTGCAAAAGTCAAATTTAAGGTACAACTCCCAAATAACTGTATTATAAGCTGAAAAGGAAAACGAAAAGAGGGAGGGGGAGACAGAGGGAAGTAGTCATTAGATCTCAAACAAGAAAAAGAAAAGGAACCTTTTCAAAAAGAACAAGGATAATCAAGTTAGTTACTAGGATTGTTTAATAAATTATTTTGGTTTTGGGCATTCAATGGAAACCAATGGCCTTACATGGCTCACATGTGGCAGTCGCTACAAAGAAAAAATCTTTAACAAGAGAGTAATTGAAGACTTCCAGAAATTTCAGCCTTACATGTGGTGTGCTTGACCGGCTTAGTGATAATCATTTTTTCAGTATTTGGCCTCTTAATCCGTTCCAAAATGAAGCTGCATTAACAGTCCTCTTGCCGGGAAGCTGAACTTCCAAAACCTGGAATACCAAAGAACTAGCATTATCAATCTCTAATGTTAACATATGCAGAAGAAGAATGCCCATATTAGCAGCAACTAATCCTCTCTCTCTCTCTCTCTCTCTCTCTCTCTCTCTCTCTCTCTCTCTCTCTCTCTCTAATATTAACATACTACAGAAAAAGGATGTGCCCATAGTAGGCAGACAACTAGTCTTCCTCCCCTCCATCCTCTCTCTACACAAATCACTCAAGACAAATACATGAGATAAACTAACGTATGTAAATGCGTATGCATACAACCAATGATAGTAGGGCTTCAATCCAGATGAAATTAAAGAAACCCAACCCTCTGTTAACGGATTCCCAAGAAACATCAAATTTAGAGTTTACGAAGTTTCTAAATAAAAAGCTATAGTAAAACTTTGAGCCAGCATAGAATATAAAATGTCGTTATACATACATACATACATACATAGAAAGCCAACATCAATTGTGGATATCATGCAGCTATCCAGATTTAATAAGACATGAAAATAGAGAATCTTTGTAAGTTGTATAGGATAGCATTTTGTCAGCCTCCTCTTCTGTATATATGGTTTTGCACAGCGTTTGTGCAGTGATATATAAAATTTGTTACCACTTCAAAATAGGAAAAAAAAAAGACATGAAACTAGCAACCCATAAAATCTAGGATTATAGACGTTGATAGAAAACTTGCAGCTTGAATCAAAATATTCTTGAATTTTAGGTACAAAATCTTCTCACCTCCAGGGCCGTGTCCCCACCACAAGGAATTACCAGTGAACCTTTGGTAAAAAGCACATCATTGGCTTCTATATCTTGACTTCTGATACCACTGTAAATCCGAGTGGTGATAATTTTAAGCTCTATACTACCGCTCTCGCCACTGCTAGGGTCAATGACCATAAGTCTAGCTCGAGTTCCTGGCCATCCTGCAAATGCCCGAACCTAAAAGCTACTGTGTCATGAACCCTCAGCCCAGATTGAAAGACAACTTAGAAGAATACCTTATTATGAAGCACTTGGGCATCTTCATCAAAGGATAGCCATGACTCCTCAGGAGTTATCTGCAAGAAGCAAAAATAGAGTCTTATTCCCAGAATATGATGGGAAAGGTTTATCTGGATTTCAATTAGCCAAAATGAAATCCAAAATCTGCATAAATGCATTGAATGATATTTGAAAAAAATTAATATTAAGGTATCATACAAAAAGAATTATCTTGTGCAACAGTTTGAGACCCACTATTGGTGTCACTCCAACCGTCCAACGGTATGTATCTCATTTTCAAGATGAATTTAGTTCTCATGTAAACCTACCTACCCATTGATAGAGAAGCATGGCACAAAGTTTCAAACAGGGACGGGCTTATTGTCAAGAGCACTAAAAATTCATGTGATGGAGGAAACATATTTAGTGAAGTAGGATCCACTGTCTGCCTGTGATAATATGCACTTAACCTTCATTCAATTAATCTCTAATATCACCCAATAGGAAAAAAGAAAAGCAAGGATTTTGCATGAGAAGATATGGTGACAAGTGACCAAATATGGCTAGCAATATAGAGGGATGTGAATCCTAAGTTCCTTATGTTTCATGAGCAGGATATGCAAGACGTTTCAATTTTGAGCTCACATCCTCTAGTGAAAATGGACTTAGTAATATCCGGATGGTAAATGAAATGCTGAATAAACCATAAAGGGACCCGTGGGCACCTATTAGATGCTTACAAGTGTCATTGTGCTCCATGAGTTTACCTAATGGCACTAATAATTGGACACTGATCTTGACCTCTGTACTAGGTAAAGCATTCCCTCCCCCCCAAATGCTCCCCTTCATTTATATTTTGACATCTTGGTTCCTAATCGAAACATGGCAATTATTACTCCAGAGATGGAGAACTAACTTGACAACCAGAGTATTCTGCTAGGGCCCATCTCGGCATTTATTCACATCATCTCAATTTATCGCGGAGGCCGCAGATACATTTGGGATCCTTCAACTAGACTCCACCCTGAACCCCATAACCCCTGATCCTCAAGGTAACTTTAATCAATATCAGGCGTATTAGCACAGCACACCACGAGACTGTTCCAGAGTCATGATTCTATCCATAAGCAGGGCCTATTATCCTACAACAGGCCAATGGAAGCCACCTTCAAATGATACACTTAATGTAATAATTATGAGAGGTTTCTAGGTAGATGAAAGACATATCTGTCCTGGCTATTAAATTGTCCAACCACAAGAGTTGGAAGTTTTGTCATGCAGGCCTGAGCTTAAGACTTTCCTTAAACTCAGTATATAATACTGGCGCATATATCCAGCCAAGATGGCTGATATCTTAACATTCTCAGGACATCTTGCTATTGCCGATACAGGAAAGGTTAAATATGCCATGATGTTTAACGAACCCACATCTCCATTTGGTTGAACATTACACTTGAAACTCGGAAGAAATGCACCAAACAATGGACACACTGTAGGGGGTAATTTTACCTTGGGAGCCAGAGAAGCTCTAGAGTCATCTTGCTCTTCTGCTCTTCCACTTGCAGACCCATCAAATATGGACGGAAGTTCACGAATTAGAAGTTTGGAACCTGAATGGAATAAAAGCCCATGAGCTATTGGAAAATGGAATCTGAATCGTGACAATACTCGACATCCCAATATCTTCACATAGCACAGAAAACAACACTGAATGTAATTTGATCACATGAATTTTGAAGAGCAATGTTGACAATATCGAGCTGGGAATACTACCTCTTCAAAAACCCTGCCAAAGATTCTCCAACTATTACACAATTAACTTGCTACGACCAAAACTGAAAGCTGAATACATTCCATTCTCCAATTTTACAGGCCAAATGATGCATTCAATATCACAGACAGAAAAAAAGGTGGTCTTTTCAACTCAGAATACAAATTTTCATCTAAGGAAGACAAGCATTGTAACAGTGAAAATTTTCAGTTAGTGAAGAGCAGGAAGTAGAAGACAAGAGTAACAAACCTAGAGCAAATAGTAACTCAAGTAAATCTGGAGCCTGCAAAAAGGATATTATAAAGCATCAGTCAGAAAATTCATTAAGAAATGAAGGTGCTGCCAAGAAGTGGGCAGTCCACATGCATATAGTTACAAGGATAAAAATAAGACGAGGAGCAACTATGTGGTTAGGCCAAAACTAATCAATATACTGACACATTTTTCATGTATCTGCATTATTATACACCAACCTTAACCGTGTCACCTTACCAAGCAAGGAAAATTAAAAACACAGAAAAAGGGAATAATCACAAGAATCTCTTCATCAAAAAAAAGGAATAATCACAAGAATCTTTTTCCAATAATAGCAAGCAGCGCGAATCGTTTTTTTTTGCTGCATCCAGCACAATGGGCTTTCAGAACTTAACACATTTATCCACGATAACAAAACTAATAAAAACAACATTTCTGGAAAGAAAATCACAAAGACCTTTATTTGATCATCAACTGTTACTCTTTCACGCGCAATAACTGGTCCAGCATCCAATTTACGAACTGTATAAGCTAACGACACCCCTGTTTCTTTAACACCATCCTGAAATTACATATGCAGTTCCACAAATGATAAGTCCATCAAGCGAGTAACCCATATAATTTCCATAAGCTTTCAGGAGAAAGAAACCTGCAATGCTCTTTGAACAGGGGCTGCGCCACGATATAGAGGCAGTAAACTTGGGTGTATGTTAACTGTTCCTGCTTGATTGGACCAAAAAGGCTAATGCTCATTCAGATAATCGAGCTTAAGCAGAAAATATTTCTTTGTAAACTCCAAAAACAGCAGTTGATCTTTTTAGGCATTAGCTATTCAGAATCCCCTCTACTCGTCTAAGCTTTAGTATTCCAATTACAACGACATCCCTTCTATTTAGTATGCAATTATTGGAGCTTCCCCTACCATCAACGTCGCCAGCTAAAAATGTTAGAAGTTGCTGACACCCAGCATTGTCATAGATTGTCCACTGTGAACCTCAACAGAAATGTGGTACATTTAAGTTTTTTATAATTCCAAGTTTTCATATTCAAATTCACTAGAAGATGCTTGAGGAAAGGTCTTCTTAAACCACAAGAAATGCCAAATACAAGAAACTATGGCTGAAGTGAAAGATGGTCTGTAAAGTGAAAAAACTAAGGTCTGTTCATCAAGTGAAAGATGGTTCTAACTCTGATAGTTCCAAACTCCAACTCATAAAATATGACAATGCAGCATAACCGAAGAACAGAGGAAATCACTAGTTAAAAAAATACAGCACAATGAGGAATCATTGCCTAACCTTTTGAAGGAATATTCAGAAATTTAGTGGGTAAAATATTCCCATATGCAGCAGTAACACAAAGCTCTGGCTCCAAAGCTTTAAAGTTAGAAAGAAATGCTTCCTGCATTATAATAACACAGTTAATAAGACGTACAAACGGAAACCCAGTCACTGTAATTTTATAAACAATTGAAGATTGATTGGCAGAATCAATGATAAGAGGTTGGAATATTTTATCAGCAGACAAAAAAATCACAAAATGCATCAAGAAAGCTATTGGTTTCTTACAGTTTCATCACTTAAGCATCATTTTAAAACTTATTGATATAAAATCATTGATCATTAAAAGAAAGGTAACATAATTTCTTTACCTTTCTTGCTACCTAAGAGAAACTACCCGAGGCTGGCCACCAGTGGCGGAGCCAGGATTTTCAATAAGGGGAGTCAAAATATAAAAAATTAAACTCACCAAGAAGTCAAGGGGTGTCAATAATATATATATACATATTTTTTTTTAAATAATCCAGCTACACGGTATAATTTTCTGACGAAGGGGTGTTGGTTGACACCCCTTGGGTGCATGTGGCTCCGCCACTGTTGGCCACCATACTTAATAACAGTCGACTGTGCACATGCTTTTCATGTCTTAAAGAATTATAACCAAAACTAGGGTCTCTAGAAACAAAATGATTTCAGTAAAAAGGCACCATGGAAGTTTGCAATAAGGAAGACACCCGTGGAGCAGTGACAAATTAAAATATATATACAAAATACATAAATATGTAAATAACCATTATTACCTCACCGACCTTCACAGGTGTGAAAATCAAATCAGAAGGGAATCCTCTGTCAAGAGCATGTTGAGCAACCGGTGAAGGCATTACTTTTCTTCCTCTATCCCTTCTGGTGGGTGGTTGCGCAATGATAGCTGTGACCTAACCAGTGTCAAACTAGCTCAGTTTTCTACCCCATCCTTAAGTACCAAACAGAACTGAAAAGATGCCTATAGTGACTTTAGCTACATAAAATCTGCTGACCATAAACATCTACTGCAGATAATCAACCTAAATCGGACAAGAAAAACTTTTGACTGAAAAATGCAAAAGCTAGATGCAGCCCCAAGGAAGTAAGAAGTCGGCTTCACTCAAAAGAAGAAAATAAGCTTGTGAAAAGTTTAGTTATAAGCACACAAAAAAATGCAGACCCGTCAACAAAGTTAAGAGAACAACTTTTGTATTTCATTAGTAAAAAGAATTACTTCAAGGAAAAGAGACAGAATATAGAGGAATGAGCATAAAAACCTATGGCTACATAGAATAAAATGTGAGCAAAATTAATTAGGGAAAGTGGTTAAGTCCTGCTTGAAACTCAAGTACACAATGAAGTTACTAGTATTTGTGGTAAAAATCAAGTCTTTCTAGAAATTCTTGCTCACAGGCATCGCATATGTTCGTGCACAAACAGCTAAACAACATTACATCTATGCCCAGATGAAAAAGAATACACATCAGTTGGAACTATAACACAGCAACAACTAGGCCTCAATCCTAAACTAGTTGAGATCCACTATACAAATAATGTATATCCATTCTACTACATTTTGCACCAGCTTCATTCAAATGCTCAACTATTTATATTAAAAAACACAACACAGGAGCAAGAAATATAGACATTTACTCATGACATATGTTATACTTACAAATGTCCATAAGCATACCTCAAATAGGGAATCTTGGGCAGCAGAAGCATTGAATAAAGCATCAAGAACTGAAGCAGAAACCTGAAATTATGCAATTAACAATAAATATTGCAATAGTACGAAGAAAGGGGAGATGGGAGCAATATGCCAACCAACCTGAGGAGAACCCAGAAAGACAAGACGCTTCTTCTTTGAATTGGAAGTGATAGTAGAAGGAGCAGAAGAAGAAGCGGTGACACTGAAGCTACAAAAGCGTCGAATCATCACTGAAGACGACAGCATCCTAATTCCCTCTCAAACACAAATATATGTAAAGATGAGGATGTTTTACTTTTTCAGGAATAGTTTGTTTGGACTCAAGTAGGTGTTTGCCATCTCCTTTTTCTCTCCTCAGAAGTTATACAATTGTACTATAATTTTGTAAAATCTTAATTAAGGGATAATAAATTTAAAAAAAGGTGGAAATACAAATAAAAAAGGTTGATATATCAGAATTTACATTGTAAAGACCTCGAGTACTAATTAAATGTTTTGTTTTGAATATATATAAAAATATATAATATACACACAAATATAAAGTAGGAAACTAGAAAAATTGTTTTTCTTTTCCGGAATATATGTGTAATATCTGTTAAAAGGAACTGAAAAAATCAATACTCCAAGTCCCCGAGCTCCTTAGCCAAAACCCCTAAAAGCAGAGAGAAAGAATCGAGAGCTTAGATGGAGGGAGGTTGTCTAACATTCACTACTGCCTCGGCACCAACAAGACCTTCAACCTTATTCAATTACAATCCCACAGTTACCAAACAATTTTACAGAAATTCACTACAAAATACTATTACACATGATAAACGAAGAGGAGGATTATCAATAAAAGCATCGACCCACAATTTTTCTACAACAAAGCCGACACTATCTCGGAACTGGGATGTTTCGAGTTACTCAAAAGCACCTTCTTGGTTGCCCAGATTTGAAGAACTTGATACTACCAATATGCTTCTTCGTCAAAGGATTATCTTCTTGGGTTCTCAGGTTGTCACTAATTTTAATAAAGATTTGTTTTTTGGGTTTTGTTAATTCACTCTTTATAATAAAAATTTAAACTTTATACGTGGTTTTGTTAATTGACCATATGGGGATTATGTTTCTCATTGGTTCCGCATTAATTTGTTAATTTTACTACATTCTGTGAGCTTAATTAGTGTTAGGTGTCATTACTCTGGAAAGATTTGTTTTTTTTTTCTTTTGGGGTTTTGTAATTCAATAAAGATTTGAATATTGTACGTAGTTTCTTTAACTGGTCATATAGGTATTAGTTTTTTTCTTTTCAATTCCGTTTTAATATGTCAATTTTGCTGCTGGTTGCTTAATATTGTTAGTATTGCTTGGGGAAGTTGTCACTGCAAGGATTTTTAATTCTTAGATGGGTTTTTCCTGTTTGTTAACAATTCACACTATTCTATTGGCCAAACAGATAGCTTTTCGTTCTGCACGAACAAACTTTTACTTGACTTCTTATCCATTGCCAATTGATGATGCGCTATCTATGATAAACTTTTACCTTATTGAAAAAGAAGATGATGCGCTATCTATGATTGATTACATTATGATTAGAACTTGACAATGAGGAATTATCTTATATTTGAATCCTAGAAGTGCAATGTTGTTTCTAAGACTTGGGAAACTGTTTGGTGATGAACAGGTAGATGATACGACTGCAGATTTTGTTATAAGCCAGCTATTATTTCTTGATGCCGAAGATCAGAAAAAGGACATCAGATTGATCATTAATTCACCTGGTGGTTCAGTAACTGCTGGTATGTCTAAATGTTTCACTTACTTTGGTTGGATCTGATGCTATCCTTTTCAGCTGAAGTTGAAACACACCATTTTTGATAGGGATGGGAATCTATGATGCTATGAAATTGTGCAAGGCTGATGTTTCTACAATCTGCATGGGACTGGCTGCATCGATGGGTGCGTTTCTCCTCGCATCTGGCAGCAAGGGAAAGAGGTACTGCATGCCGAACGCAAGGGTGATGATTCATCAACCACTTGGAACTTCTGGTGGTAAAGTATGTGCTTACACTTCCCTTTACTCATCAACTTGTAGTGTTTTCTTTTTGCTTGACACTCTTATTCGAGAAAAACCTAAGTTATGCAAGGGCGTGATTGATGGTTCAACTTTGATGTACTGTTATTTGTTTGTGCTCACTGAGCTGCTTCTCTGAAGCTTTTTGTATTTTCTTTTGCTACATATATACATCCAAACACGCAGAAAAAACTTTCTTGCCAGAATATTTTCTATGAAATATGCATTTGCGTAAGTTTTTTTAATGAAAAACACTGTAACACTGAGGCATCACTGCATCTTGAGTTCCCGATTCTGCAAGATATTTTACTCTCGGATTTCTGAACAATTTTCATTTTGTTTGTTTTTCTATTCTGAAGTTCAATAAGTTAGCCCTGTCAAATTTGGAACATCCTTATCTTTTAGACTCAGTGCTCACTGGTTGTCTTGTTAGTATTATCCCGTTCGTATTCAGTTCTCTTTCTGGATATATCTGAGTTCGCTACATATAGCTTTTGATTTGCTCATTCAGTTGATAGTGGCCTCTCCTGCAGCATTTCATTGCTGGGAAGGATTGGTGTAAAATTCTGAATCAATGTATAATAAATACTAACTTGACTGATCACAGGATTGGTTCTAAAACTGTTCGACATATAGTTAATAGTTTATTGGTCTAACTAACTTATTCTTCTAGATGTAAAAATCTGTTAGATCTCTCTCTCACTTCTCCTCCCACCTCTCTCTATGTCCCGCAGTCAAAATGTCTGCAGTTGTCCACTCAAATGGGGTTAAAGCTTTTGCTTTACATTGTATGCTTGTAATGGGCGTATGCACATACGATATGCATGATATAGCCAGCAATCAGGTTTCATGTTGAGCTTTCATTGGCCATTTTTAGATCTAGACATCCAAGCTAGTATTCTTATGTATGAGTACGACTGAAGTTCAATAACAGTTGCACCTGATGTCTTGAACTTATCTGCATTTGCTATTCAGTTTTGAATTTGCTCTGTCAGATTCCCTAGCAGCTTCAGGAGTTACTGGGTGCACTGGCTATTTTGTCAAACATGAAGCATAAACCTCTCGTGTTCCTGTTGTGCCAATAATCTTTTGGCTAGCCTAGGCTAGTGCTAGTTTATAATAAATAAATTCATTCAGATATCACAGAGCAAAGATGTGATTCAGGGATTCATTTGCTAATCGTATAGTTTTTGGGGCTAAAATATTTGTCTTATGCTCTGTGAATATTTTGGTCCAGCTCGATGCCAGAAGTTTGACTGAGCTATGTTGAGGGACTCCTTTTGGAAAGTATCAGCTTCAGTATAGGAGACCTGAGAGAATGAGGTCATGGGGAGGCCTGTCAATTCAGCTAGCAAAATCACTGTAGTTGGGGATTATAGTTATCCTTTTCATGCACACATGTTGCTCTTAGAAAATATATGGGTTGTGCTAAGTTTAGGAGACTCTGATTTTACACTCTATACGATTCTCCGAAACTAATTACCAAAATTCAGTCAACTACTACAACAATTTATTTAAACAATTTCTTACAGCACTTTCTAGTACAGTGGTCAACCATAGCATTTTTTTGTCATAAATTTTTTTATAATTGGTTAGACCCAAACCAAAGGAATGTGCATGCTTTGGTTTCATGTTGATTCCTTATGGACATGCAAGTACCACACTGGTCTTACAAGTAATATTGAGTGAGTGAGTGTTGATCCAACGGCAAATTGATGCCAAGGAGTGTAAGAACCAAAAATAAACCTCCTTTACCTGGTCAAACTTAAACATGAGCTGAAGCCGCTGCGATTGTCATGAGATGTGGAGCATGTGGGAAACATTGGCATAAGCTCTTCTATTTGAGATTACGGAGTCACAAGTAACTGATTGTTAGAGCGTAACTGTCAACCATATGCAACCAGGGATGGATGTGTCCAGTCCAGCGGGAACGCGCAGCGCAAACGAACCTGAGTTGCTATACCGAATCCCCCGCTGGCCATCGGGGACCGAGTGGTAAGGCCATGATCCGCAGGCACGAACGACAACTCCAAACGTCACACATCCGCAGCCTACCTACCGTTTAGGTGGCACCAGCGAGATCCAGCTAAGGTAAGGAACTTCGTGTCGCGGCTGCTCCACTCCGCTGCGGTCTCATGAACTGAACTTTGTTGCCTTCCCGCGCGCGAGAATGGGCGCTGTGCCGTGGGTCAGTTTCGGGGTGGGGACAAGTAATGAAGGAACTAAATTAATTAGCAATTTAATTAATATATCAATAGTGGTGCTTGTAATGGTTCTGAAGTTCAAGGGAGTTACGCCTAGAACTATGATTTTCTCCAATACTGTAATCAGTCAATTGCTTCTTTCACGGTAACTATCTTTCGAGTTGCTTATAACCCTATCTTAACCTATTCTCTTTATGTCTATGAGGATATTGCCAATGAAGATGCATAAAGCTCCAGGCCTAATTATGGTTGCATAAGGCAATTAGGTATATGTTCTTCATTAGAAGAAAGAAAAAAAAAAGGGCAATTAGGTAGTGTGTAATATATCCTAATTGCAAATCAGTCCACCTAGTGACCTCAGTAACCTGATCTTATGCTATTTGGCTTAGTTCTAACATATAATCTGCTAATATTTATTGATGTGACATTAATTTATTTGAGGGAGTTATGCCAGCACTCAGTATCATATCAATAAATGCTACTAATAAGCTACTGTCTCTTCTCTGGACGTGTTTCAAGTAGGTCAATTTCCGTCATCCTAGCATGCATCTTTCCTAGTTTAATAACTTTTTTCTTTCTTTTTTGTTCTGTCTTTTTCCTCGTTAATCAAGATGTACTTCCTTGAACTCATCTTCATTCACAATAATAACTTTTATTTGACTCGTTACTCCAGGCAACGGAGATGAGTATACGGATCAGAGAAATGGCATACCACAAGATTAAGCTTAACAAAATACTATCAAGAATTACTGGCAAGCCTGAAGAAAAGGTGATTATTTTAGATACCGTCTCTTACTGTAAATGAATTGTTTGTGAAAGTTATATAACTCTTATATTTCTCTTTTTCCTTTCATTTTTTCCCTAGATTGAAGTGGATACAGATCGTGATAATTTCATGAATGCTTGGGAGGCTAAGGAATACGGATTGGTTGATGCTGTTATCGATGATGGCAAACCAGGATTGGTCGCACCAACTGCAGATGCCACAGCTCCGCCAAAAACACGAGTTTGGGATATGTGGAAGATTGAAGGAAGCAAGAAGGCAAAGAAAAATTTGCCTTCTGAAGAAAGGATGTTGCAAAATGGGTATGTGAGTAGTCAAGATGATGAGCAAAAGAGCAATGAACAGAAAGATGAAGCACCTACTCCTCTATAGTGTATTGGGATACATGTAACATGTGGCCTTCAACAAATGTACTAGTCGTATTCAATTTGAGATGTCGTCTCAGGGATTAATTGTAGATTAATACTTACTTTATATTATGCTCGAGGTCTCTTGAGCTTTCTGTTGTACCAATGTCTATTGTTTTTAAGGTTGTTTAATAGTATTTGAATTGGTATTTTGTTAAGGATTTAGGTCTATTGTTAGAAAGCAATTTGAAATGCAAATTAAATTAGCAAAATGTTATACCAATTTGTGCGAGACTCGTGTCATAATTTTTTAAGTTAAGCATTAACGATTAATAAGCCCTCGTGATTAATGATTTTTTGGGAACCAACTCCGTTCACCTAATGATTGAATGAAATATCCTATAAATTAGCCAATGAAAGAATTATTTTATCGTAATACTGTCGTAACAACTTTGCAGCAAATATATTGGTTGTACTATCAAAAAGATGCAATTAGTTTACATGCTATACCTAATATTTGATATTTAAAGGAAATTCTTCGAATTGTCAACCAAAGCAAATGAAGGATTCTTCCTCATTGCTTTCCTCTTCAATGATAGCTTCATTAAACGCATTTACAATCCAGTAAAAGGTCAAATATAAAATGCCAGAATTAAAAAAACTAATGGACAAGAGGCATTTACAATTCAGTAATTATCTTTTCTATAATACAGTCTTTATTCTTTCAGTTTCCTGCATCTGTAGATAAAAGCCAAAAATGACATAAATAGAAAGAGAATAGCAGAAAGGAAAGGTATACTGCAAAAAAGACTACAAAATAAGAGGACATGCCAACAAAGATTTAGCTTGATCCTCGGACTGCATTGTCAGTCAACTGAACCTAAAAGCAATGTAGTGGCTTCTTCTGCAATTATTTCAAACTTTGAAGCATCCACCCCGAAGACCACCAGAATACTTCTAGTTCTCAGATAGAGTTGACTGTGTCGCTGCTTTCACTGTCACTGCTGCTGCTTGCACTATCACTTCCACTTCCACTCCCGCTGCCACTCCCACTTCCACTACTGTCACTTCCACTACTACTGCTAGAACTTGAAGTATGGCCCTCTTTTTCCTCTGCATTTACCTGAGCTCTAAGTTCTTCTGCAGCATTGCGGCCCTTATCCTCATCATCATCACTTACATCCACATCAGCTATCTCATCATCTGTATCGTTTTGGTGTGGGATATTAATATCAATGCCTGTTCCGAATTCTTTCACGGTGATATTCCCTCCATTGGCTGCTGTAGTATCATCCTCGTCGTCATTCAGTATATCCAATTCTTCCTCCAGGTCATCATTCTTCATGTCTGGTGATGCAGTTGACTGATTTGCATGTGAAGATGGATATTCAGAAATCTTCTCACCTTTGTGTCTTGAATCTAGAAGAAAGAAGACGAAGAGTCAGCTACTAAAAAAGGCATGAATGACAGATAAGGAATCAGAAATTTCAGGGTTTCATTAAAAAGGAGCTCGCCTATCCCATAAATGATGCAGATTGAGACAAACCATTGAACCAAAAAAAAAAAAAGAACAGATAAGTGGAAGCAAAATCTTAGCCATTAATCAATCAGAACAAATGCAAAATGATTTTCTAGGTAGAAACAGATGAGATGTGCACAGCTTAAATCAATCAAACTACTGATTAGAAAGGAAAAAAAAACCTCAATCAAACTATTGTGTCGTGGATGGTATGATACAACTTAAGCCTATCCTAAACTGTGAGAGCCAAATGGCAGAAGACTCCAGACAACTTAAGTCCTGAAGGTATCTTCTTCTTGGTCAAGCTAGGCCCTTGAATAATTAATTCCGGCAACTTGAGTGATCTTTTATACCTTTTTCATCTCATTCTTTTTCTCCCCTGCATTTCCAATCTGTGTCTAATAACCATTTACCCTCCTTCATTGGATAGATTCAACAAAACATAAGGTAAAACCCCCTTATTCCCTATCTTTTCAGCTTAACACCACCATACAGGGCTCACTTTGAGAATACATACCTGAACTTCGAAAATCACCAACTTCAATCCGTTCCACCTCAACCTGAACAAGCATCAAACAGAAAAGTTAGAGATATTGGTCTAATAGTCAAAACTACAAAGGATATGGAAACGGACAAACTAATCATTTTTCCCCTTTATCAGGAGGGGCAAACATAAAATAAAAAGGCTAAAATTGATATACTAAAGGCAGCTAGATATTATGGAAAAAATGAGAGGTTGATGAGACGCATCAGACAGCGACGAAGACGAAAAAGGAGTAAACGATTTTATCTGTAGTCCGTAAAATTCAAAAAATGAGATACAATGAAGAATAATGTTGCTGGCAAATACAATCATCTGAAGGCAATTTCAAGAACTAAGCTAGACAAGTTCAAGCATGATTTAAACAAGAAAATTCTGTCACTCAAGACTGCAGTTTTAAACTAATGGCTGTAAAAGTTGTTGGCAATAGGCAGTGCACCCATCGACTACAGACCCCACCATTTCTTTTCATTATATTGAAACAAGTAGAATGGGCGGAGAGAAGATACCAACATGTGCAGTGATGATCACTTTGCCAAGTACTACATGTAATAATAGGAAGCAGCGGCAAAGCCCCAGCATCTAACATTCCACCAAAATGTGTAACTACACCATGTGCCCAGTTTTTTTTTTGACAAAGCCACGTACCCAGTTATGCAAACATACATATAACACTATTTCCTTTCTTCTGCTATGCAGAAGCATAAAACCAGTGCAAGCAAAGGTAAATTGTGGTTTCCAACCAGACTCAGTTTAGCATTACAAAATTGTGGGGAGTCTCAACAGAAGAACTCAAGTTAGAGAGATCAATCAAGTAATATCTTTCACTGATCTAAAGAGTGGCACAAAGCAAAGGTATACAGGTTGAAGATGAGTTGAGAAATAATCATGGGAGGAGTCACTTTCATCTTTCACCAAATCGTAATTAAGTTTGAATGGACCAAAACCAGGATAAGCTTGCTTTTATCTTCACTTTGAGATTGATTTAAGGGTGAAGAGAGAACACGTGCATAACAGAAACCAACCCAACATTCCTCCAAAAGGAGCGCATTCCAGTTGGAAACTACAAATGCAACAAGGACTCTGCCACCTAAATTTGATCTATGATTGAGCAAGAGTCCTTGTTGGTCTCCAGCCAGAGAAGAATATCTCATTCAAAACTGAGAGTTGCAAAGCAGATGATGAAATGACATCTGCCGATTGGACAGAGCTGCCATTGTTAATTTTGGAATGAATAGTTAGAAAGTAAAATGGAGATCTACTGACTGGAATGAGGTTTACCAAGGAAATAAAAAATGATCAATGTCAAATGTCACGGTTTATTAGGTCCCAATTGGCAGACTTCTGCATGTTATCAAAATCCTGGGGCAGCCATAATATGTCAGTTCTATCTGGATCAAGCTACTACTTGGACTATGGAATATGGATATAAGTATATAACTGCAAATTAAGCTTATTTCATTTTATCTTTTTCAATAAACTTGTGAACAGATATCATCCATGTTACTAAGAAGGTGAGTTTATCATAATTTATCATCTTGGTAATCTCAATTAGCTTTGCCTAACTCCCTTGAAATCTTTTATCAGAGAATTAGGTAAGCAGTTTCTTCAAATGGTAAGCATAAATACAGAAAGTCATGTATACAAATCTGCAAAAGTATCACATTGCAGTACTAAGTAATCTAGAAGAAACTGAAAGTAAGTTTGCAAAAGAACTTACTGGTACAGCAGGAACTGCAGTCTTATTCTGAGACTGAAATTTAGCCCCTTTGGAAACTGGAGGTGAACTCGCCTCTGCAGGCATTCCAACCGGTGCAGATATCGGTGAAGGTGTAGGTGCACGTGCAGGTGTAGATGCAGATGCAGCTACTGCTACTGCTGCCGCAGCGGATTCTCCGGGGAGTCGGTTATACCTCAACCGCTTAACTGCCGTGTGTAACCGCTCCAACCGAAATGACTCACCATCAAAGAAAAGAACAGCATCATTTTCCTTGTAATCCTCACTACTCCCATCAAAGGCGACTTTGGGTTTACCAGGCTGGTTATTTTGAAATTCAACAGAAATCTTATTGTCCTTGGTCTTGTGTAGTTTTCCAGGTTGGTTTTTATCAATTGAAGCAGGTTTAAATTCATCTGAAGATATAGAAAGGAATTGTCATTTTAACTATTCCAGCAACAACATTAGGATGGCACAAAAAAGAAGATAATGTTAAGGGAAAGTTATACAAATCTCATCCTTTGTCATTTATGCAAATGCAAGTTATGGACAGTTCTAATAAGGGGGATAAAAAAAACAATAAGGACACACATGGGATTTAAAAATGTAACCTAAATCAATACTTGAACCATCTTTGCCGCTATATTAGAAGTTTTCCTTGTATCAAGGGGATTCAATAGTGTGTGTTTTATCCTATTTTCATAGTATAAGGGATTCAAGTGAACCTCCTTTATTTGGTGTAGCTACGCCCCCTAAGTATGGCCAACTAAAACACAGCTAGCTAATTCAGCATTTTCACCATACTTGGCTAAAGATTGATCTAAGAATTTAAGTTAGTGGATACGGAGTACCGCTGCATCACTAGCCTAATTGATATTGGGAGAGAACTAAGTTATCTCCAAATTTTAGATATACAAAATGCATAAATGCGCGCACGCACAAGTTGAGCCTAAAAATTTCAAATTGCTGCACCTCACGTATATTTGCAACTGTTCTTGACTTGTCTTACACGAGAAGCAGCATAATATAGGACGTATTCAACACACTTGAAATAAAGTTATATAAAATTACAGAACCTGGACATTATATTTATTAAAACAAAGGAAGTTTGTTCCTCGTATTCATCTATGTAGATACTAGTAGAAAAAAACGTGCATAAAAAAAAAAGGGAGAGAGGGGGAGATCAGGAGAACATACAGCGTAAAGTACAGAACTTGGAGGAAGGATGGTGGTCTTTGAAGGAAGAGCCTAGGCTCAGATTGTACCACCGATCTGGCTGTGGCGCCGTGCTTGGCTCCTCTTTGCTGTTTATGTTTGCCATTTTCAATAGCCCTAGCCGACACAATCCACCGAAAGACGAAATACAAGGTCGGAGGAGACAATAGTGGGTGGTTTGCAACTTGCAGCTAATTGTGTGTGTGTGTTTGTGTAATTGTGTCCC